AATTACTAAAATACCTATTATCTAATGTGCAGCCTTTCGATTGAATAGTACGTCCGTTATCCCGTCGTCTATATAATGGGTAACCATTTTTATCATTCTGGGTAACGTCAGAAAAACACTTAGGATATTTTTTTGAACAAATTTCATTTTGCATGCATGGAGCGTTTGGTGCCAAACTACCACAAGGTCCGTGCATCATGCACCGGATAACAGTTTCATAAAGCTGTGGGTCGGGAATTTCTGCAGACACAATCTTATTGTAATCGGAGGGTGATTGTAGTTTATCTTCTTTGGCAAGTATGATTAATATATGTGCATGCGGAAGACCTCTTTTTTGAAATTCGATAACTAACACGAATGCCACAACTTTTCCTAATATCTTATTATTAATGAGGTTGTTTAAAATGGCTTTTAACTTGAGATGGAAAACGTGAGCAATGATGTCAGGTCGATCATTTGGTGTCTGGTTATTATAGAGTTCTGCAAGAATTTCGGGCCAATGTGGATTACATGTGACTGTAATAAATAGGCTTGGTTTCCCAAATTCTCTCACGATCACCATTGCATCCTGATAACATTGGCTCATATACCGAGAACTGCCAGTAAAAGATGAGGGTAGAATTATTTGTCTCCCTATATTGGTAAGATCTTAAAAATCATCTGCAACTGCATCAGCAAGACCTTGGTAAAGTTCAGCATGAATTGCATGTTGGTTCATCCTTTGCCAAAGAAGCCGATTTTGTTCAATCTTGGCATATTGATCGACAACATACTGGTGGAAAAAGCGTGATGCATGATGTAGTATGCCGTCAACAGGACTACGTATATGTAAACGGTAAGCGGCATAGTCTCGAATTGTAACATGTTTTCTGTGCTGAGTCTGTCTTAATTCATTGTTTGAGTCTCCGTCTGCAAGATCAATATTATTTTCAGGATCACTTACAGAATTATGTAAGTTTTCTGTATGGTTAGAGGTGGTACTTGTTGAATAAGAAATACCAGGATGCCAACCGAGTTGACCATATGGGAATAGCAGTGGGTATTGAAGCGGGTCGTATACAGCATGACATTCTGATATTCTTTGCAGTTGGCCTTGAGTAGTGCGGAGAAGAATATCATGACCACTGTTAGCATTGTTTTCAATTAGTAAAACCGCAACTTCGTCTGCAGTAGGTCAGTTATAACGCCTTATATCAAAACCTTGGCCACTCAAAAGCTTTAACATAATTGGCTGACCTCCGCGAATGAACTGGCCAGCACTTCGGAATACTTGAGCAAAAGGATTATGCATATGGAGATCATACTGAATATCAGTCAAAATATCATGGTCTAAAAAAGGAAATACATTGTGACGATGGTGTAATTTGGCCTCAAAACTTCCATCATATATATATATTTGCGAGAATTTTTGAGCACAATCCTCATTAGGAAGCAACAAACCAATTCAATGATAAAGTGCTCCCTGAAGTCGGTAAGTGTAAACCCTATTGGTCCCATCTGCAAGGTCACAGTCAATCGATGCTCCCATTGATGTAAAAGCAAAAACAGAATTGAATGAATGAATATGCTTTAAATAAAGTTCTTCTGTTATGGGTGAATTTTGAGTAAGAAGCTTTATAATTGATTCGGGCGCATTGCCCAATGGAGCCAAAACCACTTTTTCATTGCGACAGCAATTGGTTAAGGACTCCATTGGCCAATGCAAAGCTTGACAATGCTCACAACTAATTGATATTCGTGGAAGCATATGTCTGCCGCAGACTACATGCTTCCCGCACACAACTGTTGGTTTAAATGTTTTAATTGAGCTTCTAGCAAGATTATAATTCATTCTGGGGCGCCTTTGAACTAATTGGGCTTGAGTAGTTGAGTGAGTAGATGCTGGTGAGTGAACTTCATTATCTATGTAGATCAAGTAATAAGAAATCATGTGAGATGGTAGTTGATTTTCTAGTGATTAAAACTTTGAGTTGATGACTAAAAACAAAACAATCAGGCTTAACAAACCTCCAATAGGGTTGAGTGTAGTCGTATTTAGGCTGTTTAGAGCTTTATAATAATTTTTAGCAGCACTGAGCTTTCGGGATTTTCTTCTTCTTCGATCTTCATGAGTTTCCTCAAGTTCGGGGGTCTTATATCGTGTGTCTTGACGAATATGAGGTGGTGTTTCTGGTCTGGTTCTTCTTCGTGTCATTTTTTTTATTTTAAAAGTTTGCAATTTGTTTCGTTGTTTTAAAAAAATAGTGAATTTGAGACTTCGGTGGTTTGAAGCCATGTTTCATAAATTGGACGCGAATACGGGCATGTGATGTATGTAACAAATATAAGATCGAAACTGCGCAAAAATCGCTTAATCACCTTACTGCGCAGCATACGGCCCTCAGGTATTTACAAAATTAGGATTAATTAAATAATACCTTTGGAAAACTGTGTGAAGAGGGATACTATACGAAAGAGGAGAGTATCATTGATTCGGACCATGAATGTAATAAATGTCGCGGCTGATTCTAAATTTAGGGCCTCGATTTGAAAATATAAGTCTGCTAGAATCCACATATACTCTTTAATTATCAATTCTATCCCTAAATTCTAACCTAACCCAACTCTTAAAAAAAAAAAGGGAAAAAGCACTTCCAAACAATGGTATAAAAATTCACAATAAAATAGGTCCGAATTTCCGCATCAGCTGCGACAATAAATTACAGTCCCAGGATATTTTTCAAAATGTTAGAATCTAACAATTGAATAGTAACCTGATACTATTTAAAAGGAATACTTTTCAGAGGGTACAGTATATAGCACTGTATGGTAATTAAGTAGTCAATATTTTTGATAATTTTGACAAATTATCAATATAACTTGTCCGAGAACTATGAAATCAATTTTGTGCAATCAAATGGTAAGCGTTTTATACTTAAATATAAAATAATATTTTATTTTATCACAACTAAGTGAAATTGTTAGGTAGAGATGGATAATAGTATTAATTAATCGAAATAATCCATTTTTCATTATAAATTCAGGGTTATGTTCATGGGTTTATCTTTTTTTTATTAAGATGGAAGTTGTCTTGCATCTTTCTACTAATAATTATTATCTTTTTTTTAATATGAAGCTAATTCTATCAGGTTGATTATTAGAATTTTGCTTCGATCTTATTTTACTTGGAATTAAATTGGAGGTTTAAAATTAAAAGAATCCATTTGAGTGCGTGAGAGTGAATACCTGGAGACCGATCATAGTAAATCATTAAATCAGTTTCCAGGTTTTCACTCTTACGCACTCCTTTATGTAAAAGTTATGACACATATAGCGACATTATATGACCAAGACATTAATCACCCAGAGATATCGAATGGGCTGTCGAAGGAAACTATTAAGGATATTAAAAAGAATACTACCAATTTTTGATGTAAAACATCTGTATAAGTTTTGAAAAGGCATTCTTTTTTATGATGAAGCGACGATTTGAAAAAAAAGAAAGCTTAACAATTATTTTCATTTGTCAAATTTAATTAATATTTGGTCACCAAGTTAAGTCTTGGAGACTAACTTTATTACGGATTTCTAGAATTACTCTCTAGAAAAAATGCGTAGCTCTCTGATCTATAATAAAAAGCGTCTAACAATTTTAAATTTCTATACAATTCAGATAACACATTCTGAATTTATCGTTGCATAACTTATGTCAATAAGTACGAATTTAATAATTCGTAATGAGCCATGACCGATAATAACATTGACTGTTATTAATGTAAGAATATAATGTATAAAGGACGTAAATAGTTCTTTGAATGAATCGGTTTCATGAGGTCAAGTAAATGATAGCAAACCCTTTAAATCTTGGGGTAGTCTACAAACACACGGTAATTTTTGTGCTAGCACTAATCAATTTTTTTTATTAAAAAAGTATGCTGGATCTGTGATTGTTGCTACACATTAGAGTTGGGGTATTTAGGGTTAGATAATTAAATAATTAAGTTATTATAAAAATGTTCGCTATGCAACGTCGTTTTGAAAACGTTCGTTATACAACAACGGTTTGAAGACGCCTATTACACGATAGTGATTTGCAATTTTTTTTTATAAAAAAAATTTGGTTATTAAATTAAATAAATTAAAAAAAAGTTTAATATTAATAAGTATTTATGAGTAAAGTAATTGAAATCGAGGTCTATAAATATTAAACGTTTTACGTAGTAACGGGAAGGATACTAATCGATGTTCGAGACCTAAGAACGAAGAAGCCTGGGTTACCAACTACAATATGTACATTAATGGATGGACGATTAAAAAAATTTCTGTTATGTGTCATATATCCAATAGTTTCCTTTGATAGCCCATTCGATATCTCTGGGTGATTAATGTCTTGGTCATGTAATGTCGCTATATGTGGCATAACTTTTACATAAAGGAGTGCGTAAGAGTGAAAACCTGGAAACTGATTTAATGATTTACTATGATCGGTCTCCAGGTATTCACTCTCACGCACTCAAATGGATTCTTTTAATTTTAAACCTCCAATTTAATTCCAAGTAAAATAAGATCGAAGCAAAATTCTAATAATCAACCTGATAGAATTAGCTTCATATTAAAAAAAAGATAATAATTATTAGTAGAAAGATGCAAGACAACTTCCATCTTAATAAAAAAAAGATAAACCCATGAACATAACCCTGAATTTATAATGAAAAATGGATTATTTCGATTAATTAATACTATTATCCATCTCTACCTAACAATTTCACTTAGTTGTGATAAAATAAAATATTATTTTATATTTAAGTATAAAACGCTTACCATTTGATCACACAAAATTGATTTCATAGTTCTCGGACAAGTTATATTGATAATTTGTCAAAATTATCAAAAATATTGACTATTTAATTACCGTACAGTGCTATATACTGTACCCTCTGAAAAGTATTCCTTTTAAATAGTATCAGATTACTATTCAATTGTTAGATTCTAACATTTTGAAAAATATCCTGGGACTGTAATTTATTATCGCGGCTGATGCGAAAATTCAGACCTATTTTATTGTGAATTTTTATACCATTATTTGAAAGTGCTTTTTCCCTTTTTTTTTTTAAGAGTTGGGTTGGGTTAGGATTTAGTGATAGAATTGATAATTAAAGAGTATATGTGGATTCTAGCAGACTTATATTTTCAAATCGAGGCCCTAAATTTAGAATCAGCCGCGACATTTATTACATTCATGGTCCGAATCAATGATACTCTCCTCTTTCGTATAGTATCCCTCTTCACACAGTTTTCCAAAGGTATTATTTAATTAATCCTAATTTTGTAAATACCTGAGGGCCGTATGCTGCGCAGTAAGGTGATTAAGCGATTTTTGCGCAGTTTCGATCTTATATTTGTTACATACATCACATGCCCGTATTCGCGTCCAATTTATGAAACATGGCTTCAAACCACCGAAGTCTCAAATTCACTATTTTTTTAAAACAACGAAACAAATTGCAAACTTTTAAAATAAAAAAAATGATACGAAGAAGAACCAGACCAGAAACACCACCTCATATTCATCAAGACACACGATATAAGACCCCCGAACTTGAAGAAACTCCTGAAGATCGAAGAAGAAGAAAATCCCGAAAGCTCAGTGCTGTTAAAAATTATTATAAAGCTTTAAACAGCCTAAATACGATTACACTCAACCCTATTGGAGGTTTGTTAAGCCTAATTGTTTTGTTTTTAGTCATCAACTCAAAGTTTTAATCACTAGAAAATCAACTACCATCTCACATGATTTCTTATTACTTGATCTACATAGATAATGAAGTTCACTCACCAGCATCTACTCACTCAACTACTCAAGCCCAATTAGTTCAAAGGCGCCCCAGAATGAATTATAATCTTGCTAGAAGCTCAATTAAAACATTTAAACCAACAGTTGTGTGCGGGAAGCATGTAGTCTGCGGCAGACATATGCTTCCACGAATATCAATTAGTTGTGAGCATTGTCAAGCTTTGCATTGGCCAATGGAGTCCTTAACCAATTGCTGTAGCAATGGAAAAGTGGTTTTGGCTCCATTGAGCAATGCACCCGAATCAATTATAAAGCTTCTTACTCAAAATTCACCCATAACGGAAGAACCTTTTTTAAAGCATATTCGTTCATTCAATTCTGTTTTTGCTTTTACATCAATGGGAACATCGATTGACCATGACCTTGCAGATGGGACCAATAGGGTATACACTTATCGACTTCAGGGAGCACTTTATCATCGAATTGGTTCGTTGCTTCCCAATAAGGATTGTGCTCCAAAATTCTCGCAAATATATATATATGATGGAAGTTTTGAGGCCGAATTACGCCATTGTCACAATGTGTTTCCTTTTTTAGACCATGATATTTTGACCGATATTCAGCATGATCTCCATATGCATAATCCTTTTGCTCAAGTATTCCGAAGTGCTGGCCAGTTCATTCGCGAAGGTCAGCCAATTATGTTAAAGCTTTTGAGTGGCCAAGGTTTTGATATAAGGCGTTATAACCGACCTACTGCAGACGAAGTTGCGGTTTTACTAATTGAAAACGATGCTAACAGTGGTCGTGATATTCTTCTTCGCACTACTCAAGGCCAACTGCAAAGAATATCAGAATATCATGCTGTATACGACCCACTTCAATACCCACTGCTATTCCTATATGGTCAACTCGATTGGCATCCCAGTATTTCTTATTCAACAAGTGCCACCTCTAACCACACAGAAAACTTACATAATTCTGTAAGTGATCCTGAAAATGATATTGATCTTGCAGATGAAGACTTAGACAATGAATTAAGACAGACTCAGCACAGAAAACATGTTACAATTCGAGACTATGCTGCTTACTGTTTATATACGTAGGCCTGTCGACGGTATACTACATCATACATCACGCCTTTTCTACCAGTATATCATCGATCAATATGCCAAGATTGAACAAAATCGGCTTCTTTGGCGAAGGATGAACCAACATGCAATTTGTGCTGAACTTTACCAAGGTCTTGCTGATGCAGTTGCAGATGATTTTCAAGATCTCACCAATATAGGGAGACGAATAATTCTACCCTCATCTTTTACTGGTGGTTCTTGGTATATGAGCCAATGTTATCAGGATGCAATGGCGATCGTGAGAGAATTTGGGAAACCAAGCCTATTTATTACGGTCACATGCAATCCACATTGGCCCGAAATTCTTGCAGAACTCTATAATAACCAGACACTAAATGATCGACCTGACATCATTGCTCGCGTTTTCCATCTCAAGTTAAAAGCCATTTTAAACGACCTCATTAATAATAAGATATTAGGAAAAGTTGTAGCATTCATGTTAGTTATTGAATTTTAAAAAAGAGATCTTCCGCATGCACATATATTAATCATACTTGCCAAAGAAGATAAACTACAATCACCCTCCGATTACGATAAGATTGTGTCTGCAGAAATTCCCGACCCACATTGTCAGCCACAGCTTTATAAAACTGTCATCCGGTGCATGATGCACGGACCTTGTGGTAGTTTGGCACCAAATACTCCATGTATGCAAAACGAAATTTGTTCAAAAAAATATCCTAAGTGTTTTTCTTACATTACCCAGAATGATAAAAATGGTTACCTATTATATAGACGACGGGATAACGGACGTACTATTCAATCGAAAGGCTGCACATTAGATAATAGGTATTTTAGTAATT